GAAATGAGCTGAAAAAAAAGATGGAACTGGAGAGAATGGCTGCATGGAAAAATCGGTTAGAAGAATTTGAAAGTGGCCATCTTCCTTTCATGTGCCTGCAATACAAAGATAAGGATTCAATTCAGCACACGATCCCTGCTGTATTTATTGGAAACCTCAACTCATTTACTGATCAAAAGATCACGAACATGGTGAGATACTTTTTTTTAAAAAAATAAACATTGCAGAAGGAAAACCTAAGCATGCTTACTCCTTATATACTTACTGCAGGTGGAAGATGATTCACTTGTTTCTGGCAAGCAGAAACTTGATAGTGGGGAACAACTCTATTGCCCATCTTACTATGTAGCTTTAAGTTCAGATAATTCATGGTATTTGTTCACAGAAAAATGGATAAAAACTGTTTACAAGACAGGTCTACCTGCTGTCGCTTCTGTTGAAGGGGGCACGCTCCCTAGAGAAACCCTGAAGCAGCTCCTTCTGCGTGAAGAGTTGATGTGGGATAAAGTTGCAAAATCAGAATATGGCTCTTTGTTAAGCATGGATGGTTCTTTAGACACATGGTCGTGGAGTCTCAATGTTCCTGTGCTTAATAGCCTTTCGGAAGACGATGAGGTTAGACTTGCTCCTTGGCTGTTCTGTGACGTTGTAGTAGACAGCTAGACTTAACATACACTAGAATTGATGTTCCAGTATGAATTGTTATTATCTTGTATCTTGTAATGGTTGGGTCCTAAGATAGGACTAGTGCACTTTACCACTGGCAGTCCTATATTGATGCTAATATAAAAACCAATCACCAATGCCTACGCATAATCTCAGATAAGCCATGTTTTATAGGCATAGTTAAATTAGTTCCCTACGAAATGATTTCCAGCTTCTGCATGCCATTCTGTCATCATACAGAATAATGGCGCTTTTTTTTTGGGGGGGGGGCTTCATCTGGACTCAACCCCTATCCCTCTGTATATGTTGGTTAATATTATTCAAATAATCAATGTCTGAAGTTAGGAGGTCCTTTTCCAACTTACAGTTATTTTAGGTTTAACTATCCTTTGTTAAAATTTTAAACTTATTTTGATCACAGGTAGAACGATTTTCCCAGGAACATCAAGATGCTGTAGAATGCTATAAGCAACAGAGGAGGAAGGTTTCACATTTGAAGAAAACAATAAAGAGTACTAAGGGTTTCAAAGAATTCCAAAAGATCATCGACATAAGAAATTTTACAAAAGAGAAGATTGAGCGCTTGGAAGCTAGATCCCGTCGCTTGACTCGACGGATAAGACAAATTGAACCAACCGGTTGGAAAGAATTTCTCCAGGTTACCATGCATCTTTTTCTATATTCATATATTTTTCCAAGTATCTCTTCATTCATCAATTTCCTTATGTTCTTTTCTGATCTTATAGCTGAACTACATTTTAGGCATTGCAGTATGAGCTGCTGCATCCATTGAAGGCGATGTCCCCCACGCCTCGCCCTACTCCCCTCTTCCACCAATCATTCCCAATTTGGGCATTTAGGCACAATGGTGCCTTGCTCTCTTACACTCACTCATCATAAGTGGCACTTGATAATTCTTAAGATCTGATGGTTTCTACCATGTCTCTACATACATAGGTCACATATGGTGTTCATTTGCATATTGCTTGTCTATCCGTATGTTTGCCATCAATGGACATTTCATCAGGTATTAATTTGTGGTTCTCTATATGAAATATTTACCAGATTAGCAAAGTCATACAAGAGGCTAGAGCGTTAGATATCAATACTCAGGTAATCTATCCTTTGGGTGAGACGGCAGCGGCTATACGAGGGGAAAACGAGCTCTGGCTTGCTATGGTTCTAAGGAACAAGGTCCTCTTGGATCTAAAGCCATCTCAACTGGCAGCGGTTTGTGGAAGTTTAGTCTCGGAAGGGATCAAACTTCGTCCTTGGAAAAATAGCAGGTGCAAAACTGTACTACCTTTTTTGTTTTTCATGTTTATGTTTGTAACTTGCTACATATATTTAGTGTCCTGATATATATGATGTGATGTCTACATTTTTTTTGCAACCACAGTAAGCATGTTTTTCCTTAAGAGGAAGAGAAAGTTACAACACACAGTCATAGTAAGCCTAGTCTTACCAAGACCAGCATGATCCTTGCAAGACTAATCTAAGAAGTATTACCAGCAAAGTTCACAATTAAGTAATTACATAAAAACAATTTGTGACCGGACGACGAACAGCACTAAGAGAAGCAGCAAACAGTGACACAACTAGCAGCTAAAGGTGACCCCAACTCTAAGCAACTAAGATCACGCACAACAAAGTTCCTAACAGCATAGCAACATACCCAGCCATTGAGGTTGTAGCGGATCCAGCCAAAATTCCACTGATGTCATAAGTACTACGTCATGGCTTAAGTTCACGTATGAGCATCAATTTGCAATGAAAATCTCAGGAAATCATTGCTGTCATCTGACAGCAATGAACAGGGCTGGCTCCGCCCCTGCATTGAGGCCATGCACAATCCACATGAATATGGTGTCTGTTGTCATGGAAACACTTGCATGACAAGTGGACAGAAGGATCTGTCACCTAGTAGGCCAAAGTAGCCGTAATTTCACTCCCCCAATCAGAACCAGGGAAATGCCTGACGGATTCACGTTTCGATGAGGAAAGTGAGCTTGCAGAGGTCTTTCAGTACTGCACAAATGAATTAGCATCCGGTGTCTCCTTGCCCGTGGCAATGCCAAGCTTCCTGATGAGATATCTACATAATATAGAGTTCCTTATCCAATTTGTTTTCAGCAGCAAGATTGGTTCAAATGCGCTTGCATTTAATTAAAATATATCAATGGGACAGATATCTGTCACATTAGGCTTTCTAAAAATGTGGATATATCAATGGGATAGGTATCTGTCACATTAGGCTTTCTAAAAATGTGGATCAGCACATTGTTTGTCTCATATATGCTTTCCACTGTAACAATTGTAGTACTTCGCTAGCAAAGATAATGACAGCTCAACCATGCTGTTGTACTCATTAGAGTGTCTATTCACAGTTGCCGTACAATGCAAGCCCTATTTAGCAGTGACATAATGCCCCTACCAACATGTTTAAAAGTTTTTTCGTTTACAATTCTGTTTCCTAGTTTTTCCTCATGAGAAAAATACACAAAGATTTAGAACAATGTCCAAAGACGGACTAGCCATGTGGGAAATTTGATGTCAAAAAATTACAGATACCCTGTAGGCTGCAGTCTTGGCCTTTTCCCTCTTTATTTAAGTATAATAATTCATTAATACATTTTCATCTGTATATGGTTGATAGTTCTTTTTTTTAAAAAAAAAATTTGGTCTCTTCTTAATGATGTCCTGCTGACTGTTTGGCTGTTTGCAGCTATGTATATGAACCTTCTTCTGTTGTTACTGATGTTATAAGTTATTTAGAAGAGCAGAGAAATTCGCTAATTGATCTCCAAGAGAGACATGGTGTTAAGGTTTGGCATACCATGCTACTGTTTATTAGTGTTGTTTGTCCAATTGTTGTCTTCTCTCTGCTTTCTGATTTGTTTATTCCTTTGCATATAGATACCTTGCGAAATAGATGCCCAGTTTGCTGGGATGGTTGAAGCCTGGGCTTCAGGGTTGACCTGGAGGGAGATAATGATGGACTCTGCAATGGACGATGGAGATTTAGCCCGTCTACTCAGGCGCTCAATAGATTTACTAGCTCAGGTCTGTTATCAAGCGAGCAGACTCATTAACCAATGTTTCCCGTGGATTATCTATTTTTGATAGCGCAATACTCTGTCATGATGCAATTACACTGCATAATATTTGGCTTAATTTTCCAGATTCCAAAACTGCCAGACATTGATCCAGTTCTCCAAAAGAATGCACAAATTGCTTGCAGCGTCATGGACCGAGTACCGATTAGTGAGCTTGCTGGTTGAAAGCCCAAAACTTGTAAGTACTACTAAGAGAGGGTTTGCCCGGCTGCTTATTTTACAATTGTTATAGGTAGGCAATTCTTTGTTGTACCGTGAAAAATAATTACCAGTTGTCACAATGAAGAAATCCAAGAGCAGTTGATATCCCACTGGCTAAACATTCTTTTCAAGAAGATCAACAACTACAGTGATTGATTCAAGGAATCAGAATTCAGAATGATGACAAAGACAAATGGCATCACATGTGAGGTTCATAGGATTGTTCATCCAAAAAATTCTCACTGCCAATTCCAGAATTTCCAACCACCTGACCCAATCAAAAGGATATGGAGATCAAAGCACAGCAACAAGCTCTAGATTTTCTCACGGCTTCTTCTAGATGCCTGAACACCAGAAATATACTCAGAATCAGAACTACAGTGTCAATGGATATGACTATTATTAAGTGGGTACTGTGCCACACAAATATGGAAGAAACAGTGCTGCATCTCTTCTTTGGATGTCAATTCAGTAAAGCCTGTTGGCATTGGGTTGGTCTCACCTGGATCATGCCTCTACCTTTTTTTCAGCATGATGACGCAAGCAGGAAAAAAATATTTACAGTTACCTTTCTTCATTCATGGTGATTTTTTTATAATAGTAGCCTGGAAAATTTGGAAGCAACGGAGTGGAGTCAATTTTTTTACAAGAGACCCAACATATCTTCTGACATGGCTATCTTTCCTAATTGTCTCTGTCCAGGTCCTCTCCTTTTTGTTAACTTTTTAGCCTTTGTATTTGTACAATGCCTTTACATTTTCTTTATATAGCTACCAACAGTAGGGGTTTTCCCCTCAAACAAAGATATCATTTCTAAGCAATTGAGATCTTCACGTCAAAATTTTTTACAAATTTCTGTAGAATTCTACTCGGTGCTCTCAATCTGGATCTTGATTGAAGAAATGGACAAAAGAACCAATGTAAAAATTGCTTTATGTACAGTCTGCAGCTATCCTATACCTCTACAACAACCAATTCAAAACAATGCAAACAATCATTTACAGCCACCCGTTCAATCTATTCCTCATCACTACTTGAATCAGAATCTGCACTATCCTTCATGAAGTGCACTGGTAGGTTTGGAAATCTTGGCATGACCCTCTTCCTTTTGCTATCTGCCTCTTCGGGTGGTTTCTGAGCTGGTGCTGCTTGAGCATCGGTGGCTTCCTTTGTCGCTGCTGTTGTGGCCGCAGCCACCACCGTGGGGGCAGCAGCTGTGTTTGGCTGCGATGACGATGGTGCCGGTTTCTTCTGCTGCACTTTCCTCTTGATGTCCACACACGCCTGATCAACCATACCCAGGAAGTCCCTCACTACGATGAACAGCTGGAGGGGATGTGCGTTCCGCTCCTTGGTGGCACCGGCATGGTAGTACTCTGTTGTCTTCTGGACCAGCTCAAGTACTCTTTCCTGCTCCCTTCTTAGTGCCTTCAGCTCCTGTTCTGCAGCCTTCACAAATCCTCGCAACCCCCTCGCAAATCCATCATCACTGCAAGTCTCCAAGAGCCTCTTGATCTCATTGAGTCGGCTGTCTAGAATGGCACACTCGCTGACAACTGCATCGTAGTCGACCAGTGCGGCTCTCTTCACGTTGGCAAACTCTGTGCTGAGACCACCAACAATTGGTAGCCCCAAGTTCATGTATTCGTTCTGCCTTTCCTCCCGTGATGGCCCCTGGCTTGCAAAGCCTGCTGCTGAACTGCCTCCCTCGTGGCCAGACCTTGCAAGACTGCCTGAGCGGCGGATGCTGTGGTTACGATTGATGGCAAGCCGCTTTCCTCAGAGCGGACAACCTCCTCAACGACGAAGTGCAGCAATGTGGTGCTCCCATCAGTGCTCTTCACGTCAGAGAGCTTGCGGAGCGCTGTAAGGTTGAAGGCCTGAGCGTTGCCACGTGCTGTTCCGGCATTCATCCTGTTTCCTGCCTTGAGCACGGCCTCGAGCAGCTTGAAGAACAGGCCCTTTGTCCTCAGCTCCTGGCTTGCCAATTCCAACGTCCGAAGCGAGTGCTTGAGCTGTGCAACCTCAGCACCATAGTTCACCTTGAAAAGCAGTGCATTGACACGCGCAATCGGATTGGGCACGTCAAGGAGGAGGCGGAGGAGGAAGGCCTCCGTAGGGGCAAGCCTGTCGGGGTTCCCAGAGAACTTCAAGATGGTGGACTCTTCTTCTTTAGAGATGTTGAGCCGCGAAAGCTTCTCCAGGACCTCAGTGCTGAGTTCTGTGTTCCCATCCCGGAGGGCGTCGATTATTTCATCCCGCCCCACCGTGAGGGACTTCAGGATGATGGAAATATTGTGCGACTTGCGCGGCTCGAGCAGGAATATTTGCTCCGGCGTGTTTGAGTGCCCGAGGCCGGCCGACGATCCAGCAGATTCCTTGGAGTCTGCAGATTTAGGCTTGCGGTTTGCTGCTGCAGTGCCGAATAGAGCCTCGATGATGCCTTCGTCCAAGCTGGAAAGACACCAGAATTAACACAGTAAGAAACTTGAGATGATATTCGATCCATCACAAATAACTGAATAACTATTGGGAAAAAACATGTGTTTTCTGAGCACTATGTAATACTAGTAAATTCATGTGAAATTGCTCGTATCAAAATTGCGGTAACTAATAGCTGACACAAGCTCGGTTTCTTCAATCATGCAAAGTGATGCCGTGCCGTGACAACTGACTAGTGACTCCAATGGCACAAGTGGACAGAGACAATTCGGGGCCATCTTGATTGGGATTGCTTTATACCCTTGAATCCATTATTGCTTTCTAACAAGGTAAAGTGTCTCCATTCCTATCATGGTTTGTACAACAAAATAGTAACAATAATATTGTTGCACGTTTTGTGAGTTCCGGTTTGTACAACAAAATAGTAGAGTAATATTGTTGTCCATTTTGTGAGTTCCGTCGAAGCGTCTTTATCTGAAGTAAATAGAAACATAGAAAACCAAATTCCCAGCATTGACCATTGTTTCGACAACAAAGTTTGGCCTTTAATAAGCTTAAATTCGTACCAAAAGATAGATCAGAGAAGTTGCGAATCTCTGCTACTCTATGCACTGGTTGATTCCGTCAAATAAGAAATATTCATACTACTTGTTCAATGAAAAGCATGCTACACCAACTCGTATAGTACTTGTTCCACGAAATCCCGTATACCCATTCTATTGATCATTTCTTAATCAGTAAGCTCAAGCTAGACAGAGAACGCGCTTTAGATTAAAGCAAATCTCGCCATCTATCTTTGTCCCAGCCTGTATGTAAAGTACTCTGGATCCTACGCGCACAAAAAGGCACCACAGGACTTGGATTTGGGCATCCGATCGAAGATGCTGCGACGTCAGTCCACCGAAAAAGCGACAGCCATGGTTTGTCGATACCATCGAGGAACGTGCTCCTACCAAAATGCTAGTGAAAAGTCCTCCCCATAATTTATTTACTGTTTACCTCTGTGGATTTGTCTTTGCATATTCTGGGGGATTCTTTTTCATGCCAACTCTAGTGAACCTGCGTGATTTCTCTCCACTCTATAGAAATACTCCTAGAGCTCAATGCTGCTGATTAAAATTAGTGGAAGTATTCGCAAAATCTGCAGTGTCCGATTGATTTGCATGGTACTACCACATGAACTCTGAACTTGGTACTCCACTACTCCATCCGTCCCTATGTCTCAGTACTGTGTTCCTACTGATCCTAGTGACATTGTTGTCCTAGCGTGCTCATGAAGCGCCTAGAATGAAATTCTGACACCTATCTCGATCGTATAGTGGCAGTACTACGGTAATCAGCAATGGAAATGAGAAGCGGTGTTAAATTCAGGGGGGGACTTACTTGAATGAACCGCCGGTGATCTTGTCCCACACCATGGAGTGGTCGGTGGCCTGCACATTGACCTTGTCCCAATGCAGCGGCTTCAGCTTCGCCTGCTGCTCGCCGGCCCCGGATGGCATGCCCGGCGCTGTCGGCGGCCTAGAAGAGGACGCCGATGCCCCACGCTTTGGAGGTGGCGGAGGCGGCCCTCCTTTTTTTCCTCCTGGTGGCGGAGGCGGCGGAGGGGACGGGCCTTTGGGCGGTGGCGGTGGAGGCGGGCCACCTCTGTGAGGTGGCGGCGGAGGTGAGGCCTTGGCCGGTGGTGGTGGCGGCGGCGGCGACGCGGCTGCTGGTTTTGGAGGTGGCGGTGGAGGCGACGCGACAGCGGCAGCGACCATGGGTGGCGCAGGTGGCGGGCTTGCTCTCCCAGGCGGCGGCGGCAGACCCGGCGATGCGCTTGGCGAGGCGGCAGGTGCAGGCCGCGGAGGCGGGCGGGGCACGGAGCTGACAGCGACGGCCGGGGTCGGCGGCGGAGGACGCGAGGACACGGAGAAGGAGGAGCTGGAGCCGGAGCTGGGCGGGTGCAGCGAGTCGTCGAACATGGCGGACGCGGAGTCCAGGGAGCCCACCGGGATGAGCGGCTCCTGATCTATCTTGTTCCTCCTGGACCGTCGCGGCGGGGACGGCGGCGACGACGACGGCTGGGGCTCCGGCCACATCTCCGCGCGCCAGTGCTGCTGCTCCTGCTGCTGTTGCTGCCGGGGCGGAGGCGGCTGCGGGGGGCGCCTGCTCCCCGTAGGCTTCCTCCCTCTGCCGCCGCCTTCGCCGTCCTTTTCGAACTCCCTCCAGTATATCGCGTCGAGGCCGTTCTCATCCACCATGCCGAAACCGCCCCCTCCCACGCCCCCGCCCTACGGCGGCCGCCTCGGCTCCCTCTCCGGCCGCTTCCCGACGAAGGCGCCCTCCTGCGGCTGGTTAGGATACCCATTCCCGCCCCCGGCCGTCAGCTCCTTCTTCCTCCCGTGGCGGAGGAAGAGGAAGAAGGCGAGGCCCGAGACAGCGAAGCTGCTGAGCGCCGTGCTCACCACCGCCACCGCGATGTCGCTGCGCTTCACGGACGACGACGACGACGGCGGCGGGGCGCTGATGGGTGACGGGGACGGGGGTACGATCGCCGGCGGCGGGGTGGCGAAGGCCGGCGTGCGGGTGGAGGGGAACGTCGTCTGGATGTTCCGCTGTGGCTGCGCGGCCGCGAGTGGGGAGAGGGCCACGGCGACGGCGACGGCGAGGAGGAGGGGGGCGGGCGCGGGCGCGGGCGCGGGCGCGGCGCCATCGGCGTGATAAGGTGGGGTGGGGAGGTGGAATGGGGGGGCGGATGGACGCGCGCGCGGACTGCTGGCTGCTGCTGCTGCTGCTGCTGCCGCCGGCTATACGTTATTGTTGGGTTGGGTTGGGTTGGGGTGGGGTTGGGCACTTGGGCTGTTGGGTTTGGGTTGCGTTGCGTGGTGGTGTGTTGACTTGGCCGGCCTGCGGGCTTTTGTGTGTTTGTTTTACTCGGTCCGGCCGAGCCGGGACGACACGACGGCCGAGAAGACGCGTCGTGTGTGGTGCCTGTGGAACGCGGGAGGGAGGGAGGGAGGGAGCGAAGGACCCGGCGCGGCGGCGCCGAGGCGGAAACCGCGCGGGCGGGCGGCGCCGCCGCGCCGTTGCTTGCGGTTCGTCCGGTCGCCCTGCTGGGACGCGGGGTTGACACGGCGGGGGTCCCATCGACTGATGGACCCAGGCGTCGGTTTGAGATGGAACGGAGGGGTCAGAAGGGGCACGTAATTTCGGGACGAAAGCCCCGTCTCCGGATGTGGAAGTCGCGGCTCGCGGAGCGTCGCAATCGAGTGTAAAATCTGGCAAGTCGTGCCTCCGCCGGCGTCGGGGTGAAAGTTCCGATTTACAGCGGCGCCCACACCTGGGCTCCCGGCTTGCCTGCCTGCTTCTCGGAAAAATTACTTTATCAGCAAATCAGTTTCCACCGCAAAGGTTGCTGGGATTTGTTTTTAGGTCAAGACCAACCGGTTGCGCGTTCGCCCAACGGCACCTTTTGTGTTTGATGAGTGCTGGCTGCAGCAACTCCATTCCCTGCTGATTGCTGAAACTGAACTGACTAGTGGATTTGGCTCGGCCGCACATGGCTGGGCCGGTGGACGACAGGGCGGGAGTTCCAAGCCCGCGTTGTTGGATTCGGCTGCAAGCTCCAATGACCTGGTGGTGGTTGATCGCCGGATATGGAGTAGGGATGTACACAACGCGTCCAAACTCCAAAGCCCACAGTGCTGCTGCTAGCCTGGCGCTGTTCTACTCCGTTTTACAGTTCGCAGTGTCGTCTTGTCGCTTGCGTCTGCCCTCACGCGCTGGGTGACGCGTCGAGTTGTTGGTGTTGCCGTAGGCACAGGCGCACGGCTGCGCCTGCCCAGCACGCATACGGCACACGACTTCGTGTGAGCAATTCATCGTGCATCCCTAGAGTTGGTGTACATCAGTACATGTGGTGACGCGAGCAAAGACTGCTGCTTCTGCTGCATCATCATAATAGACAATTAGACACGAGTTAAAAGACCGTTTCTTCGATTACTCTTACCGTCATCAGCAAAAAATGATACTAGTAGCTCCATCTCCCATGACTAGTTCGTTGGCTCCCTTGACAATCCGGCGAAACAAATTGTTTAGGAGGTCGATGATTGATGATTTGTTTCGTAAGTCATGAGGGCCTGTTTGCTGAGCCGCAGTTACGGCTTGAACCAAACTAACCCTACAGAATTGTGACCTCGACGTCCTGTTTGCTTGAACTGCTTTTTAAGCCATGATACAATGTTTTCTCTCATAACAAATCAGCATCACCGTCATAAACCGTCAGCCGAACAACTCTATGTTGTAGCAACCAACCAGATATGCCGTGATCTTTCGCATTTATCTTTAATGACAAATATGCTTGTGTATATTGTAACAGAAAAAAATACTTTTTTCATAATCAATTTAATAATAATTATTTAATATAAAATTTAATAATACTTTTTCACATAGAGGTAGTTAAAATTGAAATTGTTTGGCTCATTAGAAATTGAAAATCGCATCCTTTTTTAAAACAGAGTATATTTTAATATTAGGTAAAAGTATAGGGTGTCCTACTTCCAAGTTCCAAGAGACAACCTCAGACTTGCACGCAAGTGAAACTAATTATGCACTTTCTTCTAAAATACTTCATCCGTCCATAAAAAATGCGTAATTATGGGATCCATGTCAGTCAAACTAACTCAACTTTAATTAATTTTATAGTAAATAATATTAGCATTTATGTCTTTAAATAAATTTATTATAAAAATATATTTTATAACTAATTTCATAGTACTTACTTTGTATCATGAATATTTGTACTTTTTATATAAATTTTATCAAAATCCAAATTATTTGACTTCTCGACAAACGAGAATTGCATTCTTTTATGGACGGATGAGGGAGTAATATTAACTCTACTTTTTAAAAACGAAATGTAGATGCAGACCCCCTCCCCACCCTCACCCCCACACCCACACACAACACAATCACTTCTATGAATACATGTATACACAACCTATCCTATAAACACTTACAACTGACTAGGTCAATGTTGACAAAGTTTCCATAGAATATTCACTATTTGTGGACGTGTCCCGTACCACACAAAAGAAAAACATTGTTAAGTTACAGAATATAACTAGAAAAAACGAGCACTTATGCTAAGTCAAAAACTTTATCGAATCATGAGTAACCTAACCAACCGAGCCGTACTTAATTTGCAGAATTAACTCTAGTTTTCCTGGCGTTCCTTAATGCTAACTGCAGCCTTTCGTCAAAACTATTTCTACATCCACACAAAAGTCATTTCTTGGTCTTACCACTAACCTTGTCTACTCCCTTCGTCATAGGATGCAAGGATGCATCTTTAAGGATAGTCATAAGGTCAAATGTTTACACTAACCAATATATATTTACTATAGTAAATACTTTTGGTAAATTTTTTTAATTTACGAAATTTTTTCTTGTAAGTACAGTAAAAGACAAGTAGAATTACTTAAGCTAAATAAATTCGTCACATAAATTACAAAAGACTTCTATAATTTATTTTATTATTACCTACTGAATACTCTCATTTATCATCCCTAAATTTTATCCTGGACTTAAACCGCTTTAAAAACTTCTTTTTGAAGAGACAATTTCCCAGTTTCCTTCGCATTCGTTATTTTCGGTTGGAGCGCAACAGCCCAGTGTAACGGTCCCTCCCCACAAAAAATAAATTTAACATCAAAGCGAGCAAATGGCCCACTTATCAAATATTAAACTCGTAAAAACAGATATATATACTCAAAAGACCGACAAAGGTATGGATTAGGACGGAGCCCTGCGCCTTCTTTTATAGCTCGTTCGACCCTGACCCGCCTTCAGCTAGCGAGGTGGTACTATCTGCGCTGCGGGGAACCAGAAACGGGCGGAGCTGCGGAGCGCAGCGCTGTGGCTCAGCCGTTCGGGGAGTTGATGCTTTCTCGCGGCCCATTAGGAGGTAGTTGCAGCCCACGCTGCTCGGACAGCCCAGCAGGTAGCCTTCTGCCCGGGGAGGCTGGCTGAGTCCGCTCCGAAGAGAACTAACCTCGCTGACATGTGGGGCGTTCATCGAGCACGAGCACAGATTGATTTTCCCCCATCTGCTCTCTCAGTTGCAACGAGAGGATATTCATCAACCGAGGAAGCGACGATCCTAACGATGGTTCCTAAGCTCGAGTTACTTGACAGACTTGTAAAACTTCATATAGGTTTATTACATCAGCATCTCAGCATTTTCGAAGCTAGTTCTGAGCCTTATTGCTACAGGCATGCATCTCAGTATTTCCCAATCTATTTAAGCATTATATTATTGCTTTAGGCATCGAGCTCGTACTATACGGATTCCAGGTGTCTTGACTACGAGCACTGTTTGTTTCCGCTTATAATCGTACATATTCTCAGTTGTTAATAATTAACTCTTATGAGTCTTAATAGGTCTAGCTAATTAATTGTTCGCTAAATGTCAAGTAATAACTATCGTACCTGCTAATATTAGTTTTGAACTATTAGCTAACTTGCTATTAGAAGCTAATGGATCCAAATAATGTAATAACTTTTAATATGAAACTGATATAAGGTTGTCCAGAGAAATGGTATATTTAATCCTAGTTTAACTATCTTGTGCCATTTTTCATATTATAATTTTAGACCCTGTTTGGATCCATTAACTGCTAATATAGCTATGAGCTATTGGCTAGCTAGTTAACTTGTTAGCTAACCAATAGCTGATAGCTAATATTAGTTAGCTACTGTTAGTGGATCTTTATCCAATTAGTGAGATAGTTGTTAGTTGCGTATTTTAGCTAACAATTAGCTAGGCTATTAGTTGGGCCTAATTAAATCCAAATATGCTAATTATTAGAAACTAACTATTAGCTTTGTGGATCCAAATAGGAGTTTAGTTCATCTATGCAAAATGAAAGCCATAATTAGTGTTTGTGTCTGTGTCTACCTACACAAGTATCCAAATACATTTGCTAGACCGTCCACCAATTGGCAAGTCCAAAACTATGTTTACTACTCCAATTGAATCAGTCAAGCGTTCGTTGTCTTTTCAGTCTTCTCTTCCTTTTTATTTACGTAAAAAAGAAATATTAATGTTCAAATTACGTTCGCGTTTCCGTTGCTAGTACCACGATTAGATCTTGTCCTTTGTAATTTATTACGCCATGTGGACGGACATTATGGTAGTGTCATCGTTACTATCTTGGATGGTGACGGAATACCGAACCACAGAAACCTTCGCGCTCTGAAA